CTTCTCCCTTAACTCAGCTTGCAAGATGTTAAAGAGCTCTAATGGGGGAAACGATAAAAGTTGGAAAGGTATTTGGAAAACCCCCACCTTGCCTAGGATTCAACACTTCTTATGGTTATGTAAACACCAAAAAATTGCTACTTGGGACTCTCTCTTCAAGCAAGGAATGCATATCAATTCAACTTGCCTGAGATGCAATAGGGTAGATGAAACCCTAGCCACTGTTTAAGAGATTGTGAAAAGATTAAAGAATTCTGGGATGCTTTACACATTCCTCCCGAAGTCCTCCCTTCTTTCAGTATGGACTTTCTTAACGGGCTCTCTGTCAACTACAATTCTATGGTGGAGTCAACTATTTCTAATATCCCTTTGAAAGTTGTTTTTCCCTTTGCTATTTGGCTTCATTGGCAGGAAAGGAACTAACTTAACTTCCAAGAAATTTCTAAAAGCATTAACGGTTGGTACAACTGCCTCCAAACTCGTGTCAAGGAATTTTGGGCCATAAGTTACCTGGAAATCCAACCAAAAAATACTTCAAAAGTCAACATTGGCTGGACGCCTATGCTCTAAACTTCATCAAACTTAACACGGATGGTTCTGTTAGAAAAAATAAATAAAAAAAGAGGAATACTAAAAAAAAATTTTAACTTTGAGTCATAAAAAATATTTTTTAAAGGATATTATGTTTTTAGGATATAACAACGCTTCAAACTCTTCAATCAAAAGTAGTGAAAATTGTTATATTAAAATTTTTATTTATACTGAATAAACAGACATAAACTTCTATTCGGATGATTATGATCTTTTGTATAATTATAATCTTTATGAATAATAATATATTTATATTCAAATAGTTATGACCATTTGTCATATGATAATTATTTTTGTTCAAACATAATTATTTAAAATATGAATAAAATTAATACACAAATTAATTATATTTATCAATAATTAAATCTTTATATCTAATGTGGGATGCATCACATTTTAAACTACCAACAATCCCTTACTAGTTTGAAATGTTGGTGCTTAATTTTTACCTTTCACACTAATAAATATTATGAATATAAGAAGCTATCTCTCGATTTAAATATTCAATTAGCGTATATATCTTAAAATTCTAATGAAATTGATGGTGTTTGCAGATTAAACCTCAACTCCTAATGTTAGAATTGAAGATATAAAACACATAATACTTATTTATTCTTTTGTTAGAGGTTTATAAATGTTTTTAGCACTATTATGACCATGTGCTTATCCTATTCATAAATATTTATAAGAGAGATCATAATTCTTCTTATTAAAATAGCACCACTTCTATGTTTATATATGTAGAATTTTCATTATATCTCAATTGCTTTAGATATTTAAAACTCCATTAAGAGTATAAAAACTCATCCTTCTCACGCAATAGATCACACTAGCTTCTAAAATTTGAATGGATTTTACTAGTATTTAACATACACATAACAATAACTTGTTTTTACCTATTAAACTTTGTAATTAGAGGTTATTAATTCAAAGTTGGTTTTCCATTATTGGAGTCTAATAGTAAGGGTTTAAATCCATTCTACTTGTAGTGTTACTAACCAAATATCCTGAAATTCAATTTTCTTTTATGGTAATTATCCCCACTTAAGATTGAATATCTAATATAATCACTTCAGGTTAATATGTCCAAATTTTTTTATTTTGCATATAATTTATAAGCTCTAGACATTGTTGCCTCATCCGTATCATTTTAAAAAATAGTTGGTTTTGGTTGTGGCCACAACTCTATATTTATTAATTTCAACCATTCTATTTTCATACTTTTATATATTTTTAATACAATTATACTTTTAGTATAATTGGATAAACTCAATGAATAAACCAAATGATTTTAGTCCTTTTAAGATTTTGAAAGACCTTTTTATGACTTTACTTTAATAAGTGTTTAAACTTATTAGCTTGTATAATTTGCTCATAAAATTATACTAAAATCTTACAACACTATGGTGGTAATTTTATTTCTTTTGATTCTTATGACCCCCACCATATGCAAGTATGCATTCTTTTATTAAAGAATATCTCATTCAATTATCAAGATATCATACATACTTAATCAAGTTACCATTTCTTTTATCTTTTTACTATTTGGTGGGTTTTTTTTTTTTTTTAAATAGAAGGCCTCCAAATCTATCCTTAGTGAAAGATAATTAGTTAATATCTTAATATTTTAATAATAGTTTCAAATTTTTTATATTTTAACTAAATATAAGAGTTTACATCAATAGACAGATTTCAAATATAATCATGCTTCTATGTCTCCTTTTAAGATTTTTATATTAATTCATAAATATTTATATGAATCTATTTCATCATGGACATTATTAATAATTTTTTATTACCATGAACAAAACCATTTTCATCACCCAAATGGATCAAATACCATTTTTTTTTTGCTATTATAAAAGTTTTCAAATTCACAAGATCTTTGAATCACTCATGGCTTTCAAAGTAAATATATTTTGAAATTTTCACTATATAAAATCATAAATGATAAATCATTTGTACAATCCATGAAATAGACCATATACATAATAAAAATTACCACAATGTGATCAAGATTGTGGCATCAATTTTAGTTTATGGCTATTCTAAGCCCAATTATAATAATCAACATCATACCTACAAATCATGTAGATTTGGCTATTAAAATTATCTCATTTATAATGATGGCTTTTAGTGAAAACCAACTATCTCTAATGTTATCATGAGTTTTCAATGCATATAATAATTATCCAATGGCCAATTTCAAGTTCATGATTATTGAAACCTCTAAACTTGATTTCAAAATTTTATGAAATCTTTATTTCTCCATCATTGTGTAACCTCTATATCTCTGTTATTTACCACTTTTAATTTGTCATAACATTTTCGGATATATAATAAATTCAAACTTTACTCATAGGACTAATATGGCTATAAACAATAAGAGTCCATAATATATTTAACTCCAATTTCAAATACTTTCAAAATCATTTTGTGACTAATATATTCATATCTAGATCACCATATCAATGCAAGTCATGAAACATGAATCTAAAGAATCATTTTCATCAAATAGTATAAACAATAATTATAACATGAGTTCTGCTCATATTTCATGCAAAAATTCTTGATGAATTTGCATTGGTTAAATCATTAATTGGCTAATCCTAAGGCTTACGACTTTCACAAACCAATATTATTATCTAAGCCTATATATTAATATAGTATATAACCAGCCACATCCTTACTATTGTCATGAACTATTAAAAATCTCATAAACTTGTTCACTTTTTATTTAAATAGCCTACAAAAAGCCATTTTTCGTGTACAAGAAGCAAAAATACCTTCATTGTCTTTAATTAATAATGTATTAATTGAATTATGACATTCTATCTTCATAGTCCATATCTTTCTTATATGGATAAGAAAGAAAATTCCATCACATTCAGTTCAATTTTGTAATATATGGCAAACTATACCAATATTTTTCATACCATCACAAAATGGAATTAAACATATGCGTGTATTAGCGCCTTTAGAATATTGAATTTGCATGTTCTTTTCTAATATATAAACACGCCTAATTAGACATTAATGAGCATCATTCAAAATGCTAATAACCGACAAATGCTTTAATTTTTTTTAATTATATCAACATTTGATTTATAAATAACCAACAAAGATAAAATCATACAAATTAACAAATTATGCAAATTTAAAAAAAAAAATTAAGATCGCGATAATCGTAATGACCATGATGATATCCGTTATATCCACAATCACGATAAACGTAACATGACCAAAAATATGTCCGCGACCGTAATTTAAATTTTTAGTTCCATTAGCTTTTGGTTGATATGAAACCTAAAAATATCTTAATACATCTATGTTAATACTATAATCACATCTAATTTTATCAATAAATTGTAAAACATTTTTTTAATATATATATATATATATATAAACTGTGTGACACCTTTATAATAAAAACTAAGTAACGAAAGAAGAAAATTAAATGGATTTGCAAAAAAATGGTAAGAGCTTCATCTTTGAGTAATTCACAAAAATAAGAAATGACCAAATAACCTATACACGACCTATTCCGTTTCATCTCGACCAAAATTTTTTGTCGAAAATTAAGGATCAAGGCAAGACAGGGTGTATACGGGCAAGGGTTGGTAAACAAGTCTCTGTCCCGTCCATTGGTATGCTTATAAATATATATATATATATATATATACATAAACATATTTTATTCCTTTTTTAGTTTTAAATTATATTAATAAATGTATTATTTAATAATAATTAACAAGATTAACTTAATAGTATAATATATTTAGAATTAATTTACAATAAAAAAATTATTATATGAAAATCAAATTAAAATAATATAAAAATTCTAAATATTTTTGTCAAACAAAGTCAAGTGCAAGTTATTCATATATTTTCTCAAAGTACTAAAGTTCATAGCCTAGTTTGGATGCAAGGCAAGTTTAGGATAGAGTTGATAATGATTCGAATAGAATCAAATTCAATTTAATTTTTTTAGTTAATATATAAAATTATGATTTCTTAAAATTCAATCTAGAATTCAAACCGAATTTTTTTTATAATTTGATTCAATTCGAACCAAATTCTTTTGAACCAAATCTTACTAATTCAATTTGATTCATTGATTTTTTAAATTTTATTTTATTTTTTTATTTTTTAAATTATTATTTTAATATAATTTTTAATATATTTAAATAAATTTAAGTATAAAATAATTATTTTTATTTTACAAAAATCTAAAATATATATAAAACTATTAAAAATGTATAACAAGATTCGGTTTAAATTTTTTTGTATTTTCCACTTTTCAATTCAAAATATGATTCAAATTTAATATATATATTTAATATCCGAACTTAATTTCAATTAAATTAAAAAAAATTATCCTTAATAAACATACACTTGCAAATCAATTTTCAATTTTTTTTCTCACCTTAATTCAAGATTAAAAAAAAAAAATGAAATTTGGTCTATTGGTAACAGGCAAAGAAACTCCACAACCGGCCCTTTGCCATCCAAAACTCTTGGTTTTGACATTGGCTATAAATCATAAACCACCAGCCCTTCCTAGCGGCTAAAAGTCATATAACTTAATTACTATATAAGTCCCCTAGTTACGGGGCCTCATTCCTCTGGCAACCATCTCATTACGAAGGACACCGGCACTCATTTTGTCACCCTTTCTGGAGTGAGCAGTGATTAAAGCTTCATATATGTCCTCACTCAAGGATACAGAACGATCTTTCATTATTCTTAAATACTTTTCCGCTTCCCCTACTTTTCCACAGTGACAGAGACTTCTAATCAATGCTGTGAAAACTAGTAATCCAGGAGATAGTGACCTGTACTGCATTTCATAGTAGAGTTTGAAAACTTGTTGAATATTCCCTTCTTTTCCATAACCAGCAATAAGATGAGAATATGTGATTTCATTAGGTGAAAACCCCTTATCCAAAACAAGAGTTAACAATGCATTAGCATTCTCTGAATCCCCATTTTCACAAAGCCCTTTAACCATTTCATTGAAAGTGGAACAACTTGGAACAAGTCCCCTCCTAATCATTTCCTCACAATGTTTCGCACTTGCCTTGATTTCTCCTGCTTTAGCACAACCCTCAATTAGATGGTTAAAAGTTTCATCATATGGCTTCAAACCCATATTTTCCATCTCTTGCAACATGTTGTTTGCTTCTTGAATTCTTCCTCTTTCACAATATGCTCTTATAAACGATGAAAACAGAAAAGAGTTGACATTAAATCCTCTCTTAAGCATTTCTTCATACACCTCCCATGCCAACTCTAAATTCCCAAGCTTCAGTTTAGCATAAACAACAAACGAGTAAGCAATGGAATCAAGAAGTAAGTTCTTTTGCAACATTGTCTTCAATAATTTCATACCCTCTTCAATTCTGCCTTCTTCTATAACCTTAAACACCAAATTTGTATTAACAATAACCATTGGTGAGCATCTCATGCCATGAATCCTGTCCAGCAAATCCACAACCACTTGCAGCTTTCCTTCCTTACACAAAGCACTAATCATTGTCCTTACTGTAATTTCGTTGGGGTATTTTCGTTTCTCAATCATGTGCTCATAAACCTTCCAAACCATCACATTTTGACCAGATTTCTGCATCCCATGAAGCAAAGCATTGAAACTTAACAAGGTCAAACAGAACCCCTGTTTCTCTAAGTAACAACAAACCTCAAAACCATCCTCAAACATTCTCAACTTTGCATAGGCCTGAACCAGCAAATCAAACACCAATGGACTGGAACCAACAACGTTGTAACTACTAAGTAAAGAGTCCACAATGCAGGATCCTTTTGAATCGGATGCACTTGTTTTCAATGCTGAATGGAGCAATATTTTAGCTTCAGAGAGTTGTTGGGCACGAACTAGAATATTAATTGCAATACAGTAAGAATAGATGTGATGTTGGAAGCTTTGGGTCTTCGCCGACCAGTAAAAGAAGTTCAGAGCAGATCTTGCATGATCGGGTTGCTTTAGTTGGATAAGTATTTGTTGAACAAGAGAAGGGGTTAATTGGACAGAAGAAAAAACATTGGTGAGAGTATCCCAGTTACGGGTTTTCTTGAATGAATCAGAGATGGCATTGACGATTGAGTCATTCTTGTTCGATTGCGTGAGAGATTGAGAGTGGGCGATGATGGATTTGCGCAGGGCAAATGAAGGAGATGTTAAAACTAATAGGGACTCGAGTTTTCTACCCAGCAAAGCCATTGATCTGCTAGTGCCCTGCTTCAACTACCAAAAAAGCAGCAAAATCAATACCAAAAAACTCTTAAATTCCTGCCTTTTTCCATATCAATGGTGACAACGGGGAGGGAAATCAGCGACGGCCAACCAGGTTGCCGATTCCGTCAAATGGAGTAAGGAAGGAGAGACAGCGGTGGCTGCCTCCTGGGGTAGAAGGGAAACAAGAATCTATAAAAAGAAAAAGAAGTAACAGAGGAAGGAGTAGAGAAACTGCTCTTGCCAGCCGGACTTGCCCGGCGAGAGAGGGAGCGGCGGCGTGGAAAAGAAGCGAGGACAAGATTGCAGCGGCTACAGGTGTCAAATTGGCTATGTCGGGCCCGGCACATCGTTTTTAGATATTAATCCATGTGCTAATAGCTGGTTCTGGATCAAAATTTTTAACTACGGCTTGTGTTTAAAGTGTGTGTGTGTGTATATATATATATATATATATATATAAGTTCATTAAATTCATTAAACTTTGAATATAAAATTCTAATTTTTTATATTATTTAAATTAATAAATATATAAAAATAATTAAAATTTTTATTAAAGATGTTTTAATTATCAATAAAATGTGAAAAATAAGTATAATTTTATCACAAGATAAAAAGAAACATTTGAATTTATGTGTCATGCCATACTAATTTATGTGTTACACTCTTATATTAATCTTTAATTTGATCGTGCTATACTGGCTCATGGGCCAAAAATATTTTAGTTTAACACAACACATATACATGTGTTATGCTTGATCTAATATAATTATTTAACAATAAATCATATCAAATACAATTCATATCGTGCCAAATTATATCTTATTATTAGTCATTCAACCATTTGACACCTCTATGATTAGCAAAAAAAAAAAAAGAATAAGAGGAAAATAAAAAATATTAAAAATTTTGAAAATATCTAAAACTATTTTACACATAAAAAGTTTAAAACCTTGATTTATTATATAAGAAATAAAAAATCCTATAATATAACAAATATTTAAATCCTATATTTAGTTTGATATCTAATGTAATTCTATTTGATTTTATAATTTCCTCACGTGTCAAATTTTTAGAATAATTAATTTGTGTTATACTACAATTAAAGAAACATTTTTTATTTTTCAAATATATATACCATTAAAGCTTAACAAATGGCTTTTTACTTGCAGGTATGTTAACACAAAAAAAAAAAAAAAAAAAATTTAAATAATAATGGTTTTTGGATTTGCTTGATTGGATATGACTTTCTCTTTCTTACCGAACCTTTTTCCTCAGTATATTGATTATTACATTTACTTCATTTCATCTTTCAATAGTTAATATTCTTCCATAGGGATGTTCAAAGCAAAGTATTTAATTACAACAACCATTGGTTTTCTCAACAGATTTGGTTTTTCCCTCATTATAATCACACTGGATCCTCCATGAAGAAAAATTGAAGAGTTTAACTCATTCAATCAAAGAAAATGATGAAATCAATTCTTCCTCCTTATCTAGCCATTTCTCCTTGTTTATTGAATGTCCATTTAATTCTAAATGCTTTTGATCTTCTAAAAGTCTATCTTAGAAAACCTTTTAAAAAAACCCAATTATATCCCTTTATTTGTTATGTAGATTCTCCCGAAAAAGGAAAATGTTGATTCATAAGCAATTTCTATCATTTTATTAAGATTCTTATGATTTATTGTTGTTTATAGTTACTAATTGAAAATTTGTTTTTGCAGAATCTGTCTATTAAATCACATAGCTGAGAAATTTGAAAGGCATTGCAAGAAACAACCTGTTCAATTTCATTACTTGAGGTAAACAAATTGCAAAATATTTTGATGTGTTAACTTATTACATTCGATGTTAACCTTTTGAAGTTGTAGTCAAATGTTGATGTTCCAATTTGAAATAATATTTTCAATGATTGTCCATTGTTATGATAAATCTTCCAATTTGTTGTATACAAGATTGAATATTTGAAAGTTTGGCAAAACAAGTATGTCATTGCTACAAACTTGTTTTTCCTTGCCCTTATAATATACAGATATTATATTATCCAAATATTTTTGTTTACAGTTTGTTTATCATCATGCGATATTATACAATCTATTCATTTTTAGATTTTAAATTGGTTTGTAGCTGTAATGGACTCGGATAGAATAGATGTTGCTAGAAAAAAAAGAGTAATGAGATATGAAATTTTAAAACACAAACAAAAATATAAAGGAATTGCTTCAATAATTGGGTAGCACACCAACAAAGCTTAGAGTAAGAGATCTTATTTATGAATACTTACCATGAATTATAAAAAATCATTAGCTCATGAATGATTTCCTGATTTATTATGCGTTGGACAACTTAATTATTCTAAAATACATAAAAGTATAAGCAGGTTAATAAAAGCTAAATGCTTAATTTGGAATCAAATGTTTATATGGTTGTTCAATTCAAGACTAAACGTTTTATTTTGTATAAATAAATATATAACATTATTGAAAATTTATAATAAAGATATATTTGGATGAAAATTTGTGCATATAGTGCATGCACCGTCAACTCTAATAAAAATAATAGTTAAATGAAAAAAATGGCCATATGTCATTTTTCTAGTGTTTAAGTATCATTTTAAATTAAAAAATTAAAACATCCAAAAAATGAGATTTATTTTAAAAATAATAAAAAAATCTATTCATTCTTTCTTATTATTTTAAATATAGTTTAAAAATATAAAAGTAAGAAAATAAAAATTCAAAGTTCTAGTGGTTTTTTCCACAATCATTAAATTTCCAATTACTCAATATTAATCTATACCAAAAAAAAAAAAAAAAAAACCAATCCAAATTATAATACCCATGAAATTCAAAAACTCACAACGGGATACACCACTTGCATTACAGCCATAACTAGATGATTACAATAAACCCCCAAATACCACTTGCAATATAGCCAAGCACCCAAATCCCAAATCTTAACTAACAAAGTTAGATAGTTTACTCGCCACCATGCCTTGAAATTATCTAATCTGTTAATCCCAGCCTTAGCCAACTTCTATCTCCAACTTCTCAATAATAAAATTATGAAAAAGGATTTATTGATTAGATGTTTATTAATCTGGGTTTCTTCCAAAATTTCAAATTTGGTAAAGATTAAGCATGGATGAGCTTTTAGCGGTTCAACAAGGTAAGGTTTAAAATTTCTAACTTTTTTGTTTGTGAATAAATGGGTTATAATTAAAGAAATAAGGTAAATACTAAAAGATATGAGTTGAATAGAGAAAAAAATTGAATGAAAAGGAAAAATAACACCTCTACAAGAATAGAATGATGGGAAGCTTCGTAAAGAAATAAGAGTTGAGGCAGAAAATTTTGAAATTAGGACAAAAAGAAAAAAAAAATCTAAAAAAAAAAGATGAAAAAGAAGTTGTTTGTTTTGGGTTGGAAACATGCATAGATTTTCATTCAATTATTTTTTTTTTGAGTTTTGTGTATAAATTAATATCAATACACAACTAAACAATATGTAGGAGACACACATATTTTCATCAAATATATCTTTAATTGTAAATTTTCGATAACTTTTAATCCTTATTCATACAAAATAAAACGTTTAATCCTAAATTGAGTAACCATATAAATGTTTGATCCCAAATTGAGCATTTAGCCACTAATAAATGAAAATTCGAAACGAATAGGTAAATTTAATACTAACCTTCATAAAAATTAACCTTAAACAACATGGATTTTCTAATGTTCCCTTTGACAAATTTGTTACCTAAATACATTTGTAAGTATTAGAACTATTAGTGCTAAATGTTTACTTGAAAAAATATCAGGATAAACCCATCAACCTATGATAAGTAAGTTTAATATCCATTTAAAAGTCTAAAACTTTATTTAATAAAGAAATTAAACTTTGCTATTGACTTAATATATACATGCTAAGTTAAACATTTGTTATCTCTAAATTTAAGAACCCATACCGTGCCAATCAATAGTTTCATATTTGGTTCATGTTGCATCTTTGGAGATTTTGCCATTTCATATTACACTTCATATCGATAAGAATATTTCTTATAGCTCTGAATTTAAGTAAAGAATTGGAAATTTTATTAAACAATTTAGTTTTTTGTTTCATTTCCTTTTATTTAAAAAAAATGTCATCCTCTTTTTGTCTATATTCATTTGATAGATTTTTTTAGTGCATGATCGTAACATTGTTCTAAATGTTGTTTGCTCTTTGTTCTACCCTAATGTATGATACATTAAATAACTTGAAGTAACCATTTCTATTGTTACTATAAGTAAAACAAATCTCAATATTGTTCATTTAAATGTAACCAACATTGTAATTACCTAGCTATATTTAAAGCTTTTAGGTTATTTATAAATTGATCCTTTTGAAAATGTTGATAAACTAGCTTTTGGCAAGTGTTTGTTAATTAACTCTTACTATGTTTAGTTTCTTTCTATGATTTGTCTTTTGTATGCATGAACTTACAATAATTTAACTCAGACATCCTAATCACAAATGTAAGGCTAATATCTTTTACTAACATTTTTTATACATAAAGTATAGATGGTCATTTCTATTGAAAAAAAAATTAAATACGTTCTAATGCTATAAAATGTAACGTAAAAAAAATTCATGTTCTTATAAGATTATTTATAAGAAAGACTTTTGTTCTAAAACAAACATTAGGTTACTATCCATAAGTTGTAACAAAATCAAAAAGTAAAAATCAATTGTTACTAACATGAAAGTAATGTCTAGAATTTTCATAATTGTTTTTTTATTTATTGTTTGAAATTGTGAATTTAACTATCAAGTGCTACTAGAAATACCTTTCCCTTTCGAGACAACTTAAGAAATTTCTTCAAAAACTCTTATAAGATTTTACGAGTCATAAAAAAATTATCAAAATTTTGATAATAAAAAAATAGTATTATAAACGACAGTAACACACAGGAATCTACCTAATAAAATTTATTTATAAAGTTACTTTAAATGATAATAACAAAAACCATATGACTTTGCCCATGGTGATCTATTCCCATTGACTACCTTTAGAATATCATTATGGCGATATGATATTAAATAAATATCTTGCCATTTTAGTACAATATAATTTTTTTACCTGATAAAGAAACCAATCCTAACAACTAAAATTCTTTTTTCCATAACAACGAATGTAATAGTTAGTATTTAATTATTCCTAGTTCTTATAGTAATAAGCCAATCATCATCTTACCTTTATATTTTTCATATAAATGAGTGGCATCAAATGCTCATAACTAGATGACAATGCTTAAATCCTTTAATAGATGGAGCGAAAGCCCAAAAAACATGATGAAATCTAACTTCATATGCGTTTGTCAAGTGTTATTCTATAATAATACCTTGATTATAGTAGTGGAGTGTTGCCATAAA